TGCAATATGCACATCAGAGCAGAGCTGTAAGCTGGATAATGCTTTATGTAATGGTGCTGCTGTATTTTCTCTTACATCCCTTTAAAAGCATCTGTGTTAAATCTGCACATCTCATCTAAGCTGTGCCTCTCTAATCCCAAGTACGACGTGTGCCAAGCAGAAGCAGGGTATGAACTATGCAGGCTGTGTTTGAAAGCGGAAGGTGAATCTAATGATGTATTGCTGTCACTGTGTCAGAAAAATGTACTGTTTCTGATAATTCCATTTCAGATGTTGTGTTTTTTTATTGAAACACTGGGATGCACCTAGCTAGTTATTTCAAAACTAGGTCAATGGATTATGTGTGTGATATGGTTTATGATTTTATACAGTATGTGTGAATGTATAGCCTTGTATGCAGGGAAATAAGAACTTGGACTGTTTCTATGGAATAGGTTGGCAGTTGTTTACTGAGAATGCATTGAGTGGCATAGTGATTTTGTGATCATGAGAAAGCAATTGGGTGGGCAGACAAAAAGGATGGTTCATAGTGAGTTTATAATTCAAATTTAATAGGTTCGAAAAGCATTATTATTATAACACAATTTTTATACTCTCTCATCAGGCCTGAATACTGGATTCATACTCTACAAATTAGCTGGAAACCTAAACTCACACTAAACGCTGACATAAAAGATGGGTGTTGTGAGTACAGGCCAAAGTAACTGAATAAACTTACATTTGGCAGATTTCCTTTGAGGGCGAATCCATTTGAAGTTTTCCAAGATACAGAATTATGGTAATAAATATACCTGAATCTGGTTATTATGTCATTGTTAACTCTTTTAAAATAATAGCAAGACACCAGAAAAGAAGATTTAGGAGGGGTTAAATGAGGTACTGTACTACTGACAGCTGTTTTGTCCTTTTGAATAATTTATTCAGTATATCCATATCATTTACTGTTGGTACAGTTAAGACCTTTAAGGATAAATACGTGGATATTTGTTATTAAGGAGTCCTGAATGGCTGATCACTTTGTACCATGTCTTTTTCATATCCTTAGTGTATGATCCTTTTGTAGTTCCATTTTAGACAACATACATAAATATAAATGGAATAAAAGATTGTATCTTCCCAATATACAGAAGTGGATTATTGGAGCTGAAATAAGAATTATATCAGTCACATCAGGAAAAGTTTTCATATTACTATACCTAAGTATACTTCTAAGTGCAGTTCCTTCTGGAACTTTGGATTGATCTTTATTTAATGTGATGTGTTCTTTTTCACAGACTGTAAAACATAAAAAGTATACATGAACCGGCCTTTAAGGAAAGTTAACACATCGGGAAAGGCTGAAAGATTTCCATGCATAAAGAAAGTGAGATGTGAGAGGACACAGTCTTTGAAGATTTGTAGATCACGTTGTGCGACAAGTGAGAAATTTAGGCTTAAAGCTTAGAAATTGCTGGGCGGATGTTAGAAACCACAGAAGTATTAGGCAGGGAATTGTCTTTTAAGTAATATTTACCAGAAAACCCTCTGTGTGTGGATTAGTTGACAGATTATGCAGATGCTTGAAATACCTATTCATCTGGCTTCTCTTGGATTATAGGAACTGGTAATCCTGATTCCAGGCAGCGCATCATTTTTCAATTCGACACCCTGAAGATTAATTACAGCACTTTTACTGCTTTGTCCACATGAGTGAAAATGCCCAATCAGGTTAGACTATATCTTAGCACACAGAGGATTTACTTACAAGACCGTTTTAAAAAGGGAATTAGTCTAGTTTCTCAGGAGCTGTCTCATAGGTGTAGCCATACTAATATTTTCTTAAATGTTAATCACATTAGTGACAGGCTAAATAAAAAGTGCTGAAAATGAAAGTTATTGTTTTGTCAGTGATCCTTTCACCTCTCTCCTCTCACATACGTGCCCAGGGAAGGAGCTCCTTGATTTAGGTTTAACTGTGTGACCTAGCAGTGTTTCTTGCTAGGAAGACGCTCAGCAAAAAAACATTACAGAAAGCACTGCTTATTGAACACATTCATTGTTGTTTCTTTTGTTATAAAAGTGTTACTTTACATCATCTTCCTTAGTAGGCGAGCTGCTGTCTGCATGTGCTGGCGTTTACCTTCGGGTTTTATTCTGTTTTTCGCCCCCTAGCAACTTCAATTGATTGGTTAAAAAGAAATATTTTTGTACAAAACGGTTGTTCAGTTAAACGTCTTGAGTCTGAGACCCCAGATGGAACCCTAAAAATGCAAAGAAGGATCAAAATCAAGGGACTCTGCATTTCAGCCAATTAATTGTTTTGATAACAGCCCCAAATGTCTACAATCTTTGTTGTGGATCTTGACTTTGAAGGCAGGCTCAGTAGCAGCGGTGCTCTCAAAAGCAGTAGATACAGGAGTGTTTTGAATTGTCACCACCCTGATGCTACAGTTGAGGTTTTTGGAGAAGTGCACACTCATTCTTTTCCAGTCTCACAGGAACATAATAATGTGTTCAGTTTGGTAATTGGCAAACTGAAGAAAGTTATTTCTTTTTCATTTTGTTTTTACCAATTCGACAATGCACATGTCCACTTCTGTTTCTTGCACTGGTTTGAGCAAGTGCCTCACAGATTCGATATCTGAGCAACATCTTCAGCTTCCTGCATGTCTTAGAAGACATTAGACTCGGAGAAGAGTGTCTTGTCAGGTAACTTTATTGGTGAGAAAGCTTGTGTTTTGTTCACTTCTTTGCTGTCGTTATAGTCTCTACCCCTCAGATGCGATGCTCTATTTTTGCATATAACTTTTTTAGGTGCTGCCTAACGTTCAATGGAGTGAAAATGGTGGCGTGGCTGTTTGATTCCTCAGTTTACGTCATTTTAATCTGTACCAGCAGATGGGCTATGAGAAATAGTCTGTGATTATGAAAGAATATGTGAAAACCTGTGACACTTTGCTTGTCTGCCCAGCAGTTTGAAAATGTATACAATTTGAATGTGCCGGTGT